GGTCAACTTTTCCAACTTAAGTTTTTAATTATGAGACTAAGTGTCTCATTTCACTCTGAAATCTTTCCGGGCCCGAATTAACTAACCCGATAAGTCATAAATCAACTGTAAGGCATAAATTGAGCAGCAAATAGGGGAACAGGGCTGTAATACTCAAAACGAATGGCTGAGTCATTACAGATGTAACAATAGACCAAAATACCCTTTTTCCTTAATTAAATGCAAAAAGTCAATCAACTGTCCATGATTATTAATTGGTCCCTAAAGTATAGGATTTTATACAAGTTACTCGAGTTTATACATAAGTTGTATTAAAGTACGCAGTTTTTTTAAAAGGTTAATTATTGATAATTATCGGTTATAAGTTAGTAATCTAAAAAATAAGATAAGTACACATCTAAACTTGCCCAATGCCATAAAGTAGGAATTAGAAACAAAATTGAAATTACTTTTGATGAACAAATTGTTAAATACTGTAACTAAAAAGATATTACTTTGCCGGATTTTTTGTTTTGGATTAGCTATGGTGATATTTTGTCGGATACTGATTAATTAGTGTTCTTTTAATCACTGATTAGTGTTTGCTTAAGTACAGGCTAGAATATACCAACACTTTTTCCTTGAAATTAAAGCAAGAGCGTATCTGCAAGTTAATACTTCAATTAGTTGCAAACAAATGGATTAGTTTTCAAATGAAATAATTGTGATTCTAGTCCCCTAAAGATAAATTTCAGTTTTGGCCATCATGATATTTAAGTAATCCAAAGTTCCATTTCCTCTACCAACAAATATCAAGAATTCGGTAGACTTCTATTAAAAGAGTTTTAACATTTTTTCTGATATATTGACATGATTATCTAACTACATTTGCTTTATTATATGTCATTTTATATTTTTAGCCATTATCTATGTACATAGTTTTGAAGAAAGGTTACACGATAAGATTTCACGTCCCATGGACTTAAAAAGAAATTAATGTTAGGTGATATTTCCTTTTAAAGGATATTCCGACCCACTCCTATTGACATATAAATATCATAACTAATATATTGACTTGTTGATGTTTTCGTTTCTTCAATGATATTACAAATATACACTCAAGTTTTCCTAAACTTTATTATTTTCCTCTACATAATATAAAATGCTAAAATGCAGGTTCCCTACAAAACTAGACATGGTTTGTGGAAGAGGGCCATACAAAAAGTGGTAAGTCGTCGCGCTAAGAGTGAAATATTAACGAGGATTTTGAGAAACTACTGTTGTTTAGTGGCTATTAATTTTTTATTTCATATAGTTACTATTTAGTTGTTACTCGACTGTATTCGCGCTACTGTATTCGCAAATACAGTAGCGGAATTCGTCTAAAAAATAGGGGAATCCAGTTATTTAATAACCGAAAGAGGATCAAGTAGCGTGTATCACTCTTAATTTAACTTAACAAAATCAATTCTACAAAACTTCGTTGCTACTGTGCTGTATTTCATGTATTCGTGCAACTGTATTTATAATTACAATGAGGTAATCCGCCTAATAAATAGGGATTGCAGCTGTTTAATTATGTATTATTGCATCTATTCGCGAGACTGAATTGATAAATACAGTGAGGTAATCCGCCTAAAAAACAGGGATTACAGCTATTTAATTTTGTATTTCATGTATTCGCGTGAATGTATTTATAAATATAGTGAGGTAATCCGCCTAAAAAATAGTGATAGTGTTTAATAACGAAAAGAGTAATATTGAATTGTATTCAGTTTCACTATATTGAATATAGTTGTATTCAAACAACAAAAAAAATCAAGAAATAGGGTGTATACCGTTTTATTCAATTCCACCGTATACATTGTATTCAAATCACAAATATTCATTATTCACTATTATACATTATATTCAATTCACCGTATTCAATTCGACTGTATTCAAACAATAAAAAATCACAAAAACAGTAATATTCGGCTATATTAAAAAAATACAGACCTTTGGAATGCATAAATATAGGCAAAAAAAATAATGTATTTATACAAAAATAATAATGTATTTGAGTGTATTTATATCATTGTATGTGACTCAATAGCAAAGAAGAGAAGAAAGTTCGTGGGAGATGCCATTTTCGGCCAAGCAAAATACTGTATACATTGTATTAAAACTAAAAATGGAGACGAACAAAAATCCGACCCTCAAATCTTCTCCGGTGTAGCCATGGTCAGATCTGTTCGCTTAAGAGGATGAGCCAATAGTGGATGATGACGCCGATGATTCTGATGTCGACGGCAATTCTGATGACGACCACGATGATGACACCGACGATTCTGATGATTACTGTTCGCCTGCTCCCTCTTTGCTTCAGATTTATTCTCTTCGCTACAGAAAGTCCACCATCGTCACCAAAAATGGCTGCTACGACGGCTGCCTTGATGGAAAAGGGAGAGAGATTTGAGGGAGAAGAGAGAGAATTGAGAATCTTGATGATAGAGAGAGAAGGAAGAGAGAGAAAGAACATAATTGGCGTATTTCATGCCTCAATGATAGGCTATAAAATAAATACTTATTTTGCTATAAAATAGAAAAAGTAGTTATAAGTAATAATATTTTGAAATTATTTTGGTTTATAATAAATAAGGGGTAATAGTTTGCTATAGATGGTAAAATTTTCAATATTAATTATCATTTGATTTAAAAGTGTAAGTTACATACATCATCAGTATAAATAATAATTTACACTATGTTATCCAAAGGATATCTAGAGGTAAGCCTCTTAAAATGTGGTATCGGTAGTATTAAAAATAAAATAGAATACCTAGTACAACAGATAAATGGACGTGATCGTTTAAAAGTTCCTTAAATACTAACGGTGTATATTAATTTAACTCTTATTTTAGTATCTTGTCCAGAGAAAAACAAGGAAAAAGGAAACTTGTATCCAAAAATCCTCTCGTGAACCGAATCATAGCCTTTGGAGCAGAAGAAAAGTGAGAAAATCCATGCAATAGCTTTGCTGTAAACTTCGTATTTACCTTAAGAAATTCATATCATATGTATAAATTATTTAGAACCCTAAAATTCAAAAGGGCTAAAAATTCTGAACCGATATACTTCAAATTATGGATTCGTCTTTCGCCGCACACCATCAGAAAATATTGTACATTACTCAATTGAACTGTATGCAACCGCCACAAAACACTTTTGATTTGGGGCTCAGCCTAATAAATTAATAAATGTAAACTTAAATAAAGCTAGATTTACATATCAAGACTAATTACATCACTACTTTCAAACTTGTAACAGTGCTAACTCTCCATCAAATGCAAGCTAAAGTTGGTGTACCGTATGTTTCAATATTGGACAGTTATATACAATTTTCTGTAGAGACGCAGATTCAGAATTTGAAGGTTGCGAGTGCCATTAGACAGTAGTATGCTACTGGTCTGATTTTCCCTTACTTAAGCCATCAAAAGAACAAAGTTCATTCATTCTAGGAATTGCATATGGACCTTGTAATAAGCCTTTGGCAATCAATCTATATGCTGCCTCTGTCAAATGTACACCATCCCAACTAACATATGAAGAAGGATTATTACACACATTTGATAGTGGTGAACCACAAATTGCCAATGAATCATAATTGTATGGACCTCCTCCTCCACAACATGCTACAATAGTGCTTGTAAAACCTACACCATCATTAACAAAATTGTTAATAAACTTCCAAATTGATGTTTTCAGAAAGTTCGGGATATAACGATAGAGTTTAACTTTTATATACCAACATAAATTATTTTTGAAGAATTAACCTAAATATCACCCCATCCTACCACTTAAAATAAATAAAAATAGCCGACGGGTTTATAATCTATGTACAATGTGTATCATCATGTATGATCAGTGTTTAATCGTATGGCCAGTTACTTTTTTCGTTCTTCTTTTTTCAATTGCATACCTTTTTTGGGAGAAACAAAATTAATTAGTGTTTAATCTATGTTTACCACCTAAGAAAGCAAATAGTGAATCCAAAGAGCCGGTGAATATATAAGATATGTATAATTCATGTATAATATGTGTATAATCTATGAACTATTTGTGTAAAAATCCATAAACCTTTGCACTATCTGGTCACCTAAAAGATAACTAGATACAACTAACATTAATAAATGGAATTAGTAGCCTGCTACAACAAGTTAAAGTACACCGATATTATAAAAAATTTATATAGCCAGAGTATATCAGTTACATCTATAATGATATGATGATGTAAAAAGGTAGATTTTACGTACCAAATTTTTTTGGAGATTTGTAAATTTGCATGGCTGCATTGTAGTAATCAGCATAGATTACGTTGGCTTGAGGATGAAGCTCGCGAATGCGATGGATTTCTTCTTGAAGTAGTTGATTATGATATTCAGCAAAATTGTTTAACCAATTTATGCAACCAGTTTCAGAATCATATTCATTTTTATTTGAGTTCTTAAAATTAGTTAAATAAGAAGCTGAACATCCAATTGGTAGATTTCCGGGAACAATAAGTGTTTGAGCTCCAAGTTCAATTAGTTCCTGCAACACAATCAACAAAGTGTCACTTAATTACTAGATTAAGAATATAAGCGGAGCCAGAATTTAAAGCTTATGGGTTAGGGATTTTAATAATTTTAAATTACTCGGTTCTAAATTAAAAAATTTCATATATTCAATTGATTTCTTAATTGAGACACATATAAGATTTGAACCAAAGTTACTGGATTCGGCCGAACCCGTAACTTATACATTGGCTTAGCCCCTTATTAAGAAAATGTTTTTAATATAGTAATATGAGTTGATAAAAATAATAGAAGAATTAACTCAAATAGCCGTCTACCTAATTGCTTAAACTAAAAATAGCGGACGGATATATAATGTATGTATAATTTATGTATAATATGTGTAATAACTGTGTATAATCAATGTATCATTTATGTATACCGGCTAAAAAAAATAAATATTAAATCTGACCGGTTATTTGTATAAAAATCTCAAAATAATAATTGATTCTTACATGAATGGCCAGGCCAATTGCTTTAACAACTTCAGGCACATATGTCTGAACTTCTTCCCTCGGCTTTCCTTGAGAAAATGGATGATTATAATCATTGCCTCCAATTTCCCCCATTAGAACTAGTGAATTTCCAAGAAACTCTCGGCAACCTGATTAATATTTCAAAGAATATAAGTTTCATGCATTAACGTAAAAATTTACACAATCATATGATGTTTTATAAAGTTAGTTTCTTTGTCACTTGTCTTATGATTTTCTTTTCTTTGGTATCTAATCAAAATTAATATATTGTGGAGGTCCACTTCAGTATACGTGTCATCTAAAGTCTGAACGCAGAAGATTTTTAGAAATAAATCAAACATTTATAAAATCAAATATCTCACAAGCTTTTCAAAATTTATTCCCTTATCCCTCCCTTTTATCAGTTTTTAAAGAGAAAGTCATTTATTTTTCCTCCTCATTATTCTGTGTCAACTTTTTAAAATATTTTTTCATCTTATGCTTATACTTTTTTCTTGCTCAAAAATCATGTAACTTTTTTTCCTCCTCGTAGTCTTGTGCTCTTATCTTGCTCTTATTGTCTGATTGAGAATCTTATAAAATAATATGTAATAGTTTTAATTTTCTACTTTCCAAAATCATATAATCGAAAAAGAAAATCATTTTACAGTTTTTCAAAAATAGTTATAAAATTTTTTCTTCAAAACTCAATTAAAAAAATATCCAAACGGAACCTTAGAATATAACATGATGTCCCCACTATATATTATCTATCTATTTCAAGTAATTCCGTTTCATAATAGGACTCAAATAATTATTTTTCTTGATAAAATTTGGTTACTTTATTAGTGGTTGGTGAAGGGATGGCTTATCCTAAACAAAAGCAACAAAAGTCTTTAGCTTTATCAAGCACTACATGAATTAGTAAGAAATCCAGAAACATATAATAATATAATTAACAAAAAAATTAATTTAGGAATAAATCACCTAGTCATCTAGCTTTGTTTGTTTATCACTTTATTCTTTTAATCAAGGGTTTAAGTTATATATATTAAAAATTAAATGCAAACTTTTTTCACATTATCAGGTATTTACATGTGATAGCATATTAGTTCTTATTTTTATCAAATTATCAATTAATATTAGAAAATATTATCATAGTAATTTACATGCTATTAACTTATAAATAACCTGATTTTGTAAATATTTATATCGTTAGTGCATAGAATACTTCATCTATGATTAATGCATGAGCAAATTTAGTGAAGAAGCTACAGATTCATACGAATTCTGAGCATCTATTGTGTTAAAATCTCGCTAAATAAGTATACACAGTAAATTTTGAGGTCAATAAATTAGACGGGATCGCCTGTCCCTTTACTTACCTACCACGCCCAACTAGCTAGGTACAACTATATTTCTATTTTCATTGACAAAAGTCTTTTTATCTTTAATTTGTAGTTACTTCTAACTATACATTTAAGCAACCACTTTCCTTACTTAAAAGCTTTAACTTATTGTTGGATCAATTTCTCAACTACTCCTTTTCATTGTCTTTTCTTATCACACCTTTTTCCATTAAGTAAATGGAAGGCTAGAATTGTAGGGGTTGGTCCCTCTCTTGAGTGGGTGATTTTAGAGGGTGGTGACTACTCCTTTTATTCCTAAAAGAATAACATCATTTTATATTAATTCGTATGAGGAAATGACATTATATTAAACTAAGAAATAATTTAATTTAATCTTTTTATTTTGTTCTTAATGAAAAAATTTTATAGTTAAATAGATTAATGTTATGATCGTTTAACATTATATGTTTCAAAAGTTTTATAGTCACACTTTTACAATAAAACAACATAATTGTAACGTAAGTTTTATAGGCACACAAGTTTACTTTATCTAATGTTCAATACAAGATTGTCAAACTAATTGTAACGTAAGTTACTCCTAGTTTCATAATTTGAGTGCAGAGAAAGCAATAAATTGGTGTATGATCTTTAGAGTGTTCATGCAATCATGGGTTGCTTATAACAAGAATAAGAGGTACTCCCTAACTTAGGGTTATATCAATCTTATTATATTTTTTACTTGCCTAGAATTTTTTTCCTCCTATTTTTTTTGCGTCTTTGATACGAAAATGACATATTTGTCTTCTATGGTTTGGTCCACTTGGTGGTTTGTCAAAAACAAAAGTGAATAAAAATAAAAGAAGAATTAGTCTAAATAGCCATCAACCAACCTTTTCACCTAAAAATAGCCGACGAATGTATCACATGTGTAATACATATATAATATATGTATAGATGTGTATAATTTATATATATCGACAGTAGCGAAGCTAAAATGTTTTCTAATAGTGTTCAAACTTGAAATAAGTAAAAGAAAATCTCCAACAAAGAACATTCAGTATATGTTATATATCTTTAAAACCTAATATGTTACCCTATATGCAGACAATTGACTGCCATTACGAGAGTGTAGCTTCGCCCATGTATACCGACTAAGAATAGTAAATAATAAAAAGCAGAAGTAGGAACTCAATAAGATGAATAAATCCATGATGTTGTGGGGTCTTACTTGTAGGAGAATTGCACAAAATTGGCAACATTTGTTTGAACCATTCCAATTCAGTTCCTAAGGACACATTGGTGGCTGGGTTCTTGACTCCTCTTTTCTGCAAAAAAGATATATCTACTGCTGTAGCTCCTGCTACTGCAAAATTCACTCCTCTTATTGAATTTCTGTTACTTGTCATGTTTTTCATAACACCAGCATATGGTGGTATTAGTGGGAATCCCATACTCTCAGCTGCAAATCATATAACATAATTAAAACCAAAGTATTCAGAATCTACAACAAAAACAACAACATATCTAGTGTATTCCCACAAATAACATCTGGAGGGGTAGTATGTACGCAGTCATACCCTACCTTTGCGGAGGTAGAGAGACTATTTTCGAGTATTCAAAATCTACAGTATTTATTGAAATTTTATAATTTTCACGTATATATATATCTGTATTCCGTAAAAGTGGGACACATATAGGAAAATATGCCGAGGAAATGGGATGTCTTCTTCTATATACAAGTAAAACTATATCCCTCATTG